GGATAACTTTCTAAATTAATCTGGGGAAATGTATGGAAAAATCCATAAATTAACCTACCACTTATGAAGTTTTTTTATTAATTCAAACTTCCAAATTATCCACATTCCTGAACACAACTTTAAATCCTCTGGGAAGGTCTTACTATATTGAAAGTGATGGAATTATGAAAGGTAGAAGAAAATGACTGTGAATTTCTGTTGGCAACACAGTACGTGTATATAAATTATTCCTGAGAACATTTTTCCACTAATTTAAAAAAAAAAAAGAGAGAGACGAGATGAAATATTTGATAAATGAAATCCAAAGACTTTAAATTTGATGGTTTTAAAAAACAATTCTATAAAAGAGAAGTAAATTTTGTACTTTATATACCTCTTTTAAGACTATTTCTGAGGGGAAACTAATGTCTCCCAACAACCTGGATAGCTGTACTACTTTTGGATGCAAATATATTCCTCACGAATAAAACGAACCATTCCCCTGGCTACTACATCCATGTTCTCAATACCCATGATATATTTTCATTTATTTCTGCAAGGTACTATTGTGCTTTTAAAATCTTACTTTATTTGTGCACTTTAAAAACCTTATTTTCAGTTACTTTTACCATTTCACTTCTGTAGAATGCCATTTCTTTTTATGGTTCTCACATTATGGGTTACCTACTTGTTCTGCCAGCCTCCCTCCACTCCTCCAAGAAAGTATAGTGCATTCATTCCACTATTTCTGCATCAGAAAATCAGTTAAAAGAACTATTTATCTTTAACTAAAAAATTTTGTGCCAAAACTTTTTGAACTGCTTTCAGTATAATGACATTAGAAATTTAGTTACACTTTTTTAATACGATCTTTCATTATACATGCATGAAAAAGTAATTACAGAAAGCAATAAGATGAATTAACACCTTCCTTTTTTTCCCACTAAATCTTAATGGCTGAGTTTAATGCTTAAATGCAGCTCCATCCCACAGCTATGCTGCACATACCCCTACAGCTAGCCCACTCCCTCAGCGTCGCTCTCTCCCCCAGCCAAGTCCCCTTCTCAGGGCAGCTTGTGGGGAGCTTCTGTTGCTCCCTGCTGGGAGTATTTGGGGCCCTCAAACTCATCGTCACAGTCCTGTGAGTAGAGGTCTGTCTGAGTGCACAGTGAAGAGCCTCATCTGGAGCTAGGGTAGGAATGTAACTGGAGTTTGGGTGCAGGCAACAACCTGGGTATCTTCACTATCTCCTTAGAGAGATGTTAATGTAACAAGCAGGTGGGTTTGTGCAATACCATAAACAGGAAACATACCATTTTCTCTGTTCTGACTGCAATAAATTTGTCTTTTTTTCTTTTTCTTTTTTTTTTCTTTTCCTTTTTTTTTTCTTTTCTTTATTCACCCCTTTTGTTCTAATCAATAGAGATGTTTTTGTCCAATAGGTTGCACCAGGTCACATTCATTACTTGACTAACATTTATCCATGTGTAAACTATCATATGTTTACTTCATTTCATAAGTTGGCAGAAGGTGTGGAAAACGGTGAATGTTTTGCACTTTTCAGTGACGTATACGTCTTTTTCCTTAAAGAGTCCCAGCTAAAGGATATCAATACATTGTGCTAAATACTATGCAAATGCAGTAAATGATACTTCAGATCTTCAGAACTGAAAACAGCCTTCCTAATACTTATCCAGATATCCACCTAAGCACAAATAGTTTTTTTGCTCCCTAGGCACTTATTAAGTACCTAATGAAATGCCTATGTTAGATCACAGTAGCTGAGTCTTTCCACTGGTACTGAAAATCACTCAATTTAATGCTAATTGTGATCTCTTTTTAATAAGAACATACTATACCCATCTAGAGAGCATGTCATCTTTGCCCTCTGACAGCTTTCAGGAAATTAAAAGGATAAATACTTTTATAATTAAAATGGAATTTATGCAAGCAAGAGCTCGAAACAAGAGTCAAATCACTGGTTTTAGTATATGGACTCTATTTCATTACTGCTCCATGATATTTGAGATCAATGTACCTCTGCTCCAAGTGCAATCTAAACATTCCCAAAATGCAAATTTTGTTTTCAGAGTAAGACATGCTTTACAAGCCTTATCACAGCTCATGTGCAAAAATGTATGAAGTGCCATTTTTACTTCCATGGGGAGGGGGTGGGGAAGCTATATAAAACATTAATACTGGGTGAAAAAAAAGACTTTCTGGAGAGCAGCTTCACATAAACAGCATAAACACAGCACTAAAGTTGCTCTGAGGCTAACAGAATGCAAAAGCAGCTCACACAATAACTTAATCCTTGGAAAGTGTTAAAAAGAACTATATATAATGATGCTATTGTTTAGTTAGAATAATTTGTGTTTGATCTCTCAGGGAAATTCACATCTTTATTACAAGCAGTGATATTATTTTCTTTTTATATTTTTATCAACGGTTCAATTGCCCCTTAATCAAACGATAATGCAAGAGGGAACATTTCTCATTCAGCACAGTATCTTGACTAATTTTACGGCCCCATATGTGATTACTCTGAACAGAAGTTCATGCAATGTGCAATTTACAGTGTACACGTAACTATATAACTAATAATAGAATATGTAAAATTCAGTCTTTGTGACATAGCACTCATATGCCCTTTGGGTTTGAGCTGATATTCACAATTTGATTTAACATGCCCTAAGAATGAGTGCATAAGCATGCATTCAGTATTAGCAGTTAGAAAAATAATTCGGCACACTTCATCCTGGAAAAAAAATCCCTTATATATTTTTTCCTATAATTATGATTTTTAATGAATAAGGGCTTTGGAGCAACACAGTTTATCTTAAACTTTAGCTTAAGCTTGCTATAACAATAACTCCTCTGATATTGGAGTATTGTCACAGGGTCTATACTGCAAGGCTTGACCTTATGATGCTGTTATAAGAGCTAAAAAATCCCCAATAATTTTATACAGATGAGTTCAAGTAGTCATCTGATATGCAACCAAACAATGGTGATTTCCAGAGAATTTCACCCATTTTTCAATTTTTCAGAGGGTTGATCTCTGTGCAAAGCTGTAAAAGAACTGAAGTGGTGAAACACTGACTCCTTTTAATAGGCACATACCATTAACTTTAGTGATAAGCATTGAGTCTTAGCTATGGGGAAAGTAAAAAACAACACCACTATGTTGAGACCACAATGAAATTTTAAAACTACTATTGACAAGAAAATTTTCTGTCAAATGAAACTACTACCACAAGAGAAAGAGAGGACATTAAACATATGGCACAGACGCATCCCTTTGGAAAGTGGTCGAATACGTTACCACATCTTGCTCAGAAACTTGAACTTCTGAGATTCAGAGAGCCTGAACTTGTAAGGAAGTTGAACAAAAACACCTCATTACTGTGTTTGATCTCAAGAATGCAAAACAAGCAGCAGCAAAACACAAAACAACTGAAATGCAGATGATGCTGAGTCTTACTCTCCCAGTTGTACCTGACTTACTACCAGCCAACCTGCCTGTTTCGTGCCACATCATCTCTCAGCAATGAGCAAAATTCTGCCAATGCTGGTAACATTTTACCAATGCACTCCCAACACTGAACTCCACAGTGACAGCTAGAACTGATGCTGGTGACTAGCATTACCACTGCAGCAATTATACAAATACAAATGCACACATCTGCCTATTCTCCTTCACTCCTATCTGTCTGTATTACCTTGTCTTAACTCCAGTCTGTGTACTGAGGCTGAGTTTGGTCCCATTTCGCTTCCTACAGAGGGAAGTACCCAGAGGTACTGGGGCTGTAATTATGTTAAAATATATGGGTATATTCCTCTCTCCAACAATCAAATTATGAAAACATGCATTTACTCAGCGGCAGAAAAATATTCTTACAAATTTTTAAATATGGAAATTAGATTTCAAAAACCCACTGCTATAAAATATCCACCCAGCATTTACACATAACCTCCCAAAATAGGAAGGCCCATCTTTCATTTCATCAACCCTGCTAACCTGGAGAGACCATAAGAAAAAGAAGAATGAGATTGAGGATTCAGCTGGGAACAGGCACTGTCAGTTGGATCCTCACAGCTGGAACATGTGTAGCTCCAGGGTATCTGAATTTGAAGTCAAAAGGAGTAGCTCAAACCTCATTTGACTACAACTACTTCTCCTTGCAGTGCAAGAAAAGAGGTGCTCTCACATTGCTGGATGATTTCAGCTGCAAGATGTCAACAAACATTGTCTGTCTGAGCTGTTGGAGCCATCGTGTCCACTGTCAGTGTAAGAAGTAGGTCAAGCTGTCTTGGGCCTGGTTCTCCTCACATTTCCCTTTCCAGAGAGCTTTCAGTGAGAACTGAAGAGGGGGCACATCATGGCACAGATGACTGAAGGGTGCTGAAGTTGTAGTCTCACTTCAGATACTAGCCCTAGTTAAACAGTTTGTCCTCAGGAGCATTCATTTCAAAGCACCTTTGCCACAAACACACTTCACACGTTTGCTTAAGTTTTCTCTAAAAATTCTTCTTCCAAATGTTGATTGTTACTAACATCCAGTTAGCATTACTAACTGCATTAACTTCAGTTAATTGCATTAACTTAACTGATTTAACCAATCCCGTTTGTCTTATCAAAGAATTAGTTGAAGATTCTTAGACAAAAATAATTTTACACACAGGAAGTCTCAATGAAAACTAGTTTTGTGAAGTTACCTGTATACAGATTAGACCAACCCAACCTACAAACAGCAGGAGTTTTTAAAATATAGCATGGTCTTGTATATACAAGTATAATCCTAATCTGAAAAACAAAACAAAACAACCACAAAAGCACATACACAAAAAAACAACCACCCACACATAAGACAAATAATTTTTACAACCTGCTCTCATTTTGAGGACCTCAACAGTATTTAACAATTGATGATCAACAACAGGACGTTAAGAAATTAACAATGCTTAAAAAAATATAACTACTGCCATGTTTCATTTTAGTGACAGAAAGCCCAGCTTACCAGAATTTTTGTAGTATAAGCACTGTTGATAGCGATAGCATTTACCAGCAATTCAAGGGTTTTGGCGGGTACAGAATCTGGGTCAGGGATCTCTTTGTAGTGGACATCACCGACATAGGCTTGGACGACTGTCATCCGGTTGGTTGTTAGTGTCCCTGTTTTGTCGGAGCAGATGGCCGTAGCATTACCCATAGTTTCACAAGCATCTAAGTGGCGGACCAGATTGTTGTCTTTCATCATTTTCTGAGAGAAAGCAAAATAAAATACATTCAAGATTTGCTTTGACAAATCTCAATCAGTTATGCAAAGGACAAAAGCATATATTCAGTCTTGTTCATTAGCATGTAATGCTCAGCCAGAACTTCAATTGGTCCAGTAATAAAAGTCCTAGTTACAGACAACCAATGATTATCTTGAAATAATTTTGCTTATGATAAAATGACATAGTTCCATATTTTTTCACATATATATATTTTATTTTATTCTAAGATATAGGTAGAACAGAATAAATTAGCTCAAGTAACTGAAGATAACAGGATTTTTTTTAAACAGAATCATTATAGTAAATATTATAAAATTATGCATTATTTTATATTTCCTTTTGATTTTTTCTTTCAGCTTAACTCCTAAAAATAAAGAATTAGTGTAATTAGAATTAAAGCTAAACATCAAGAGTAATTAGTAGTGTAAATTAAGTTACCTATTAGAACAAAATTTGTAACTGCTGTAACTGCACAGAATATGAATTCTTTGTGAGATATTATCTTCCAGACACATTCTTATTTTAACCTTGAGTGTCTAGTCAAATATTTCATCCTTCTTTTCAATACCGTGTCCAATGCCAGTACATTATTGTGTAGTACATAGAGCAACTACACATCTTGAAAACCAACCAAACCAACCAAGCCAAACCACAGCAACAACAACCCCACCACCATTCCACAGTGCATATTTTTCACAAGACATACAGTCTTCCTGGAAGAAGATGTTATCCTTGTTTATATGTTTTCATTATTAAAGAATTCTGTGCCCAATCACCTGACCCTTACTTTCAGAACAGTATCTTATACTTTCAGGGCACTGTATCACCAGTTGAAGGCACATGCATATTACAATTTGATACTGCAAATATAGATACACATGGATGTGTTGTATTTACTGGGTGAAGGGCATAAGGAGAAGGGGAAATATTTTTAAAGCAGCTACATTCTCTTCTAGAAAAATCACATTCTTGAGTATTTTTGTTAATGATATTTGCCTAAAAAATAAATCAAGCTATTTCTTTGTGATGTTTATGTTATTTTTTTACATGCTAAATGGAAATAAACTACAGAATTTTCATTGGAGATTCCTAGAATTCCTAGAATAAGGCCAGTCTGAATAAATTGCTAAAGCAATCTGAGAAAACTCTTATACTGGAGTAATCCGTAAGTCCAGGTATTTTAATCCTCTTTAATTTCCTAACCAAATCATTTACATTAACTACAAACATCAACAACCACATTTAAGAAAAAAACTTTATTTGAAATATAATAATAATAATAATGAGAACTTAAAATCCTTGTTAAAACTTTTTACTATTGTAAAAGCAAGTTTGAAGACAAAGTTATTCTATATTAAGAGACTGGAGTATTCTCAAAGTAAACCCAGCTCAATAAATACCTGGTAGCTATGTAAACTAAGCAGATATTTCTACTGTTTGAAATTCCTGCATTGTGTAGTTTTAAAGCTGCATATTGACTTGTATACATATTTTCATTTTTGTCATAAACACTTTCAAACTAAACCAAAGTAGTACTGTAAAGAAATGTCACTCTCATTAACATTTTAATGGCATTAATTTACAGTCCGACTTTAATCAAAGCTGATAAAAGCTGAAGAACAATGTACTAGCAAACTCAACAGAAAAGTATTATTTCCCCCATTTCTAATGTCTCTTACCTTTACTGAATAAGCCAGAGAAATAGTGACAGCAAGTGGAAGTCCCTCAGGAACTGCAACCACAAGTACAGTAACACCAATAATGAAGAATTTAACAAAATACTGAACGTAGACAGGAGTGCACTCAGGCAGCCACTGTTTCTTTTTGACCACAAAGGTGTCGATGGCAAAATAGAGTACCAAAATGATTACAGTGATGGCAGACATCACCAAACCTGAAAATAAAAATAATCAATTACTATGAAGAAGCAAACCCCATATAATCAAAAACATGCAATTAGAAATTTGTATTTGAGTTTCATATGGAAATATTTTCTTACTCTACATGAGATTTTACATTACCCCTACTACCAATAATAGTAAATCATACAATGCAAAGGAAAACATTACTATAATATATTTACAACATAAACCATTATTGTAATACAATTACAATGTCCATACATTCCAATGAGTAAAGAAAGACTCAATTCAGAACAGAAGGATGCTGCTGCACCATTTCTAAGCACCATCTCAGTGCTGCCTTTAAAACTTCCCAGTAAGTCTAGAGTCCTGATGATTAAGACAAGTTTTTCAAGTTTAGTACATTAGTTTGCTAGTCTAAATATTGAAACAACATTTCCTCATCTTTCTTTTTAAATAAGTTTATCTTGAGAGGCTAGAGAAAAGGAGTATCTTTTAGTTTATTTTGTTATGTAGAATATTTTAGACTGAGGTATCCAGTCAAAACCAATAATATATAATTGTCCACAGTTATGTAATTGGTCTTCTGGAAAAAAATGACTAATAATAGTGTTTCCAAGGTTTCCCTTTTCAAAGGGACATATGAAAACAGTGCATATGTTTGTGAGGAGAGTCTCAGAACAGTACAAAACTAACAGTATATCACGTGAGAGACTAATAAATATTTCACAGAATTCTAAGAAGATCTGGGGGACTATGTATGCTCTCTTGATGACACAGACTTTGCTAAGATAGTATTTCGCCTGCAGTTATGTTCCTGGATTTAAGTGACAAATAAAAACTGGTTGCCATTAGGACATCTATTTTGCTTTGCTATGATTAGTGCTCTTTGGCTTTGAATAAGAAGCCAAGCCTGCATTTCAGAATATACTGATTTCTGTCTAATGAGATCATACAATAGAAGGAGGATTCTGTGAATTCCATGTCTTGACTGAAGTTAAAAATAAATAAATAAAAAGGTAAGCTAAAGGATGTTAAGGTTAACAGAAACAGATAACTCAGGGAGACCACTAAATACCAGAGGATAAAGGCAAATACATTAAAATAGTTTACAGGTAAATCTTTATGGCAATAAAAGACATTTCCATAGATTGCCTAATGAAAAATAATATTAAAAAAATGAGGCCATAATTAATTTAATTCATATTACTTGTCACAGTATGGTTAGAAAGACCTGTACTGTTACTTTAAAAATGACACCTATATGCATTCCAAAACACCAGAGAAAGTAATAAGCAGAAAGCAATGTGGAAAAATACTTAGTCTAGGAAGTTAATAATCATAAAAAATGAAATGTTTTTATATCAATGCATACTGTTGTACACCTATCAAGAAAACAGAAAAGCTTGTGGAATATAAAAGTGGGCAAAGTATGAAACTGAATATTTAAAAGCTGATAAGCAGAAATTCTTAGTAATGCACTGTTCAGGCAAAGAGACAGACGTGGCATCATGGGGTTCTGTGATCAGCTAAGTGTAATCAACTGAAAATAATTAGAAGGAACAGTAGGGGTAAAGATGAGATTGGTAAAGAAGTATAAAGGAGATTCAACAGAGGTGAGGAAGTTAGGATTCTGTTGTATGGCCACATGCCAGGGATCTGTAGAATTAGAGACCAAGATCTCTTTAGTACTACTAGAAAAAAAAAATAATAATAAAAAAAAATAATGAACATTAGGTGATTACGAAAGATCTTAACTTTCTACCTGCATGTTGGAGAAGAAGGGACATTGAACAGTAGGGACCAGATGGTACTGGATACAGTCAACAGATACGTCATATTTGGATAGAAGGCATGAACATGGATATTAAGAGAGAATAGAACGATTTCAGAATCCATAGAGGGAAATATTGTGAGCGACATTCTGAGATGATATTAGAGATTCTGAAACTGCGTACTTAGAAGTTCTATGGGAGGAGGAAATTAAATATCATGTAATTACTGAACTTGGGAGTATCAAGTAAGCGACGTTTCATTTTGATTCAAATATTCATTACATTCCAAGTTGGCCAAAGCTTTCTGTTTCTTGATGGTCAAAACTGAGCTTTTGAAGATACAAGATCTTCAGTACCATCTACTGTCCTCAGAACAGTACTATGACAATCCAATTCTAATATTGCAGTAATAAAGTACTACTCTTTTAAGAATACCTTGCTTAGAAACCCTTTGTTGTTACTTTAACACACTGCTATTCAGACATTTATCCAGTCATACCTGCTTTGCCTATCTGGACTGCCAGCTTAGTCAGCTTTCCCTGAAGGACAGATTTTTCTTTCTTGTGCATGTTGGATTTCTTCTTGTCTTTGTCATCTCCTTCTCCCCCTTCTGCACTCTTCAGTGGCTGCATCTCCATGGCAGCAGCCCCATCCTGCTGCTTGGCTAATAATGCAGAACAAAACTGTTACTCCAAAACTGTTCTCCATTCTTCTTCTTTTAGTGTTGATACTTACTGAATACCCCCAGCAACACCCCTTGTTGGGGCTGATGATTGGAACTCTGCACAGAATTACCCTTTGCTCCCACAGCAGACAGATGCCCACATGAGGACCCAGCGGGGTTCCGCAGGGGCACAAATGTACAAGTGTACCCATGAGCCCTTCACACACATGGGAATATGTGACACACCATTTGTTGAGTACCAGGAAAACCATTACTTTTGGTTTTGTTTGTTTGTTTATAGCCAATGACATTCTATGTTATACACATATATATCACTTAATGTGTTGCAAAACACTTGGCAAGTAACAGTACATCAGTACTGCAGGATTTCCTAGAATAGCAGATCTCAAACATTTTAGCAAGTTGACTATCTATAATTCACTAAATTTTGGTATGCCTTATAGATTACAATGCACTCTTATAATCTTATTTTTAATGACAATGTTTTAAAAGCAGTGTGGTTCCGTGGACACTCCACAAACAGATCTGCTTGCCTGCATAGGCACCTCTGTAACCTGTGGACCACACTTTGTGAACCGCTATTCTAGAGTAATACCAGATTTAAAAGGTTTCCTTAGCATTCAGTGTTCAGGTAGTTTGACCATCAGGTCAGATAGCAAAACCATCATAATTATCCCATTTAAAAATAAAAAATAAAAAATTACAAACTACAGCATACATTCCTGAAAGAATGCTAATGCTAAAGGAAACTTTTAGTATCAAAAAGCAAGAGTTTTATGAAATTAAAAAGAAGAAGAAAAAAAGCACATTCCAATTTATATATGTGTATGTGTCAGTTTTGTATAGAAAGGAGACAAAAGTAAATTAAACAGAATGAGATGAAACAGATCTGCTCAGCTTTGACATTCCTGAACAGTTTTTACAAAATCATGCTTATCTGACCTGGAAATCTAACTTTTTTGTTTAACTTTAAAATGTATTAATTTAGTATAATTTTATTTAATGGTTCTGTACCACTAACAACTGAGTTTATCTATTCTATTTCTGATCTACCACCTTTGCGAAGTTTAGAATTATCTGAAAAGAAGAGAAAATTATAGTTTAATTTACTTACTTGGCATAATCTAAAGAAATCATGATATCTGGTATCTCTTATTTAACAAAACATGGAAACATAACTTTTCTTCAGAGGAAGCAAAATATTTATTTCTATTTCTTCCTGAGATTGCACATTAATGAAGAAACATCTAATATTCTTAATCTTCCTTTTATTTATCGTTATAGCACACTTTTACATTGCTAAATAACCTGAGGCATTAAAGTTTCCTTTTGTTTTTTGTTTTTTTTTTTTTTTTTAACCTTCTCCCTGCAATTAAAAATATGTTTATACAATGTCATTAAACACCAAAGGTGACCAAACATATCAAAAAGAGGGCTGGAAATTCACTAATGATACATAGCATACATAACTTGCACAAGAAAAATGAATCCAAATGAGCTTCGTGACATGACAGCGTCTCTTAAAAACATCTTATTAGAAATAATGTTCTTTTCCTATCCTACATATCTGATACATCAAAATTCTATAAATTAAAATTCTACAATTTCTTGGGTAGGATCTTTTTTCAACATTGTTTGGATAGGGCCATTTTTACATATATGCACAAATCACAAACTCTTGCTTTATTTTTTAACAGAATCTACCTACATATGCTAAACATAAAATCCACAACCTGCTTAATAGGAAAGAAGATTACCTTTGTTCTGGCTGTTCTCCATATTCCCATCCTGCATTTTGCCTATATGATGAAAAATTTCAACAGACAACAGACAGTAAACAATCTTCACCCAAGACAGAACATGAAAATGGGAATTCAAATAAAAAAGGCAGACAAAAGTAATGAGCATGTTACAGATACTTATTGATGATCAGTAGCCCTTATTATACAAGTATGTTTATTAGAAGCATAGACAACTTAGCTGGACACATTCAAGCAACTTCAGTCAAGTTCAATGTTGTAACATAAAATACTAAATATCATTACATTTTTTGGAGCAAATTGCAGAAGTTAAGCTGATACTAATAAAGGGAATCTACTAGAAAGTAGAATTTTAGTAATAAACATGAAGTGAACTTTCAGATATCTAGTATTTAATAAACCACAGTTACAATCTGGCACACAGTAGTATAGAGCATGACCTCCTTAATGTATGCCCTGAATTAAATAAATTATTTTCGAAAATTAAAAAAAATATATATATATATGTGTGTGTGTGTGTGTTAATAAATATAAATAAATAAAACTGTAAAATGGCATCTTCTGTACTTATATTATTTAGCAAGTTACTCCTGTAAATATGAGTGCCAGGTGGTCATCCTATATTCAGATTTATCCTAAAGAGAATGTCAAATGCATCTGTAATCTACAATTTAATATTTCAGCTGCATTTAGTTTTACCATATCTAAATCATTATTTGTATTCTTTAAAGCTGACAATAAATTTGAAAGTGTATATTAAATTAAAATGGTAAAAATACCAGTTAGAGCATACAAAACTCTGGTATAACTAGTAAATGATATCAAGTTTCAAAAAATGATATCAAAAAATGATATCAAAATTTCTTGGTGGGATAACTTGTGAAAAAGTCACAGTGATAAATTAATCTCTTGGAACAGACTATTTGAATTTTTTAAATATTATATTCCAAGTGGATGACAATCCTCTTATAGTTTGCTATAATGGCCAATAGAAAAATAATACTAAGGAAAATTAATAGTTAAAATTTCTTCACAGGATTTTTGACACAAAGTATCATTAGAGTTTCAGTGACATAAAGTATCATTAGAGTTTCTTAACAAAAATCACAGCAGTTAAGTCCTGCTCTTCAGACTTCCTGTGCTAACAGAGAAGGAATTAACATGCATGGTAAAGCAGCAGATATTATGCTTCAATACATGCATTAATTTTTTCACTCTAAGCTGTGAATACATAGCAGCAAAATTGAAAGGCTAAGATGCATTTCTCACACATTTGTATGTTCAGTAATTGGGGATCACTAAAGACTTGATTCTCTTAAAAAGAGCAAAAATGGCCAAATAGGTTGTAAATGACATTGCACCCCAGGCTAATAGGCTACAGCCACCGAGAAATTCCAAAGTGTAGAATTACATTAAAGGAATAGATGTTGTGCTACATATAATGATCTCAGTACTCGGATTACTAAAGTTTGCTGAAGTAGGCTATATAGCATCAACTGCTTGTCTATTTTTAACTCTATTGCCACCTTGGTTATAATATGATTTAAAAAACAAGGGATAACTATCTTCCAAAGACCTATATCTTCCCAGGAATCTATGACCCTCGGCAAAAACAAGTTTGTTTTCATTATGATATTTGCTCAAAAATTTTTGCTTCATCTAAAAATTGCAGGGGAAAAAAAAAAAAAAACAACAACAAAACAAACAAACAAAAGAAACCAGCTGAACTTGATATCTACCTTATCACTATTTTTCTTAGAATGCTTTTTAATACAGATAGAGGAAGACATAAAACATCACCAGAGATTCATATTTCTAGCTAGTGGAAAAAGCCGTCCTTAAGAGCTGGGACATATTAATTTTGAGCAGACATAGTCTGCTCTGTGTTCTGCTTTACAGTTTATTTTTTTTGAACACAGTTCAAAACCTTAAAGCAGTAGAATTAAAGATTCTTCAATTTTATTTTTTTTTAAAAAAAGCAAAACAAACAAAAACAAACAAACAAACAAAAGAGCTTCAAACTGGCAAACACAAAATGCGCTACTGTTTTCCATGTAAACCAAAATACTTAACTTTATTATCTGTATTTGCTTTTTAATAGGGACATAATAATTTTTGTAATGAGTTAAATTAAGAATTCATCTACCCTCACTACCTACAAAATGGGCAATCATTAACAACAATGTAAACATATATATATATATATATATTTAAAATAACACAGAATAAGTAATTATGATAAAGGAAATAATACAGTAAAGGGGAGTAAATTATTTCCTATAGTTTCTTGAATCTTAAGTTTCCACTTGAATACAAATTATGAAGAAAGAAATCAAGATGACAGAACCACTACTGCTGAGAAATCCTTCTTTCAGTTTGTGCTAGGACCAGAAATACTAACCTGTCTCTCTGACCTTTGTGCATTGTTTAGAAAAACAAAAAGGATTAGTAAGTATTAATATTTTATGTTAAATGCAATATAGAATTCCTCAGAAATATGTTTTTAATATAATTTTGTATTTTTTTTATTTTTGGAAATAAGTAAATAAAAGGGATGGTGTGCCCTGAAATCTGGTGGAATTAATCTGGGTTTATTTTTACCACTTTTCAGAGAAAGGCCAAAAAATCAGAAAGTTTAGAAAAGAATACAGAGCCTCTAAATAGGAGTTGAATTCTGCAGCTGCTTTGAAAATTTTGGATTTGAATAAAAATTTTTTTTTGCATGTTGCCTTTACTTGATGAAAATTCCCATCTCTTTACTTGGAACATACCCACGGCATCACTAATGCCAAAGTTCTTATGCCCAAAAGGTTACTTCAGCAAATAAACCTTCCACAGTAGACTTCCCTTTCCCTCCCATCAACTCTTTATGAAGAGTTAATGAAACAAAATAACAAAATCCTTCTGCTGGCAATAGAAATTATTTGCTTATTGGAAGAACAACTTGAAATCACCTAAAGAAGCTGACCTAGTTATTTGCTCATGTTCTGCGATAGAACAAAAAAAGAAAATACCCTACTGATCTTCCAAAATGTCTCATGTTGCAATAGAAATGAGTTGCAGCTCTCTTCGTGTCAAGTCAGTAATATTATGCAGCTAGTAAGAACAGACGCACATTGCAAATCTATATATAGGGGAAGAAGTGACGTATTTCAAGTGAATCATTAGGAATTCTTCCATGCAGTATGATATCAGAATCAATGCATTTGTAAAACACAGGTTAACTACAAAAGAATAATTCTGATGCCACTGATCAAATAGGAAGTTTTAGATAATTCTTTTATGCATTCACTAAATAACTCTTCTTGCAATTCAGGAAATACATTAAAATATATTAAAACTGCAAATTGCTTTGTAGAAAAAGAACAGAAGTATACATATGCTAGAACTAGAATTAGCAGTAGATGTGAAGTATATCAGCTGAGATTTTTCTCTGAGTCTGGTATGGTATTTCTATAATTTATAATCTTAATTATAATATCTTTTTATATTATAATTTATAATTTTAATTTAAAAAAATATGAGTTGTGACAGACACACACACAGACCCCCAGAAAAATGAAATCCTGATTTAGGAATAAGGCTGGTCAATGAACACCATTGCTTTCTGCAAACCAAATCATATTTGGGATAAACAAGCTGTAAACAAACATCACTGCTTCTTCCCATATTTACTTTATAACAATTTATATTTTCTAAATACTGTACTATTAAAACAGAGGAAAATTCATGAATTATTACCTTTCTGTAAAATTTTCTGATCTTCTTATAACCTGAACTTGTAACCTTTTAAGAACTGAATATATATATTTTTGTTTGTTTGTTTTGTTTGTTTAACAAAAAGGACCATCAGAAAATTATGCATTTTCATTTCAACTACTAGAAATAACTACTAGTATGTGATAGTTACTTATATAGCAGGTGGCAAACAACAGGATGCATCACAAGCCTACATACCTTTATCACTATCACTGACCGAAAATAAAAAGCATTTTTCTGTGTCAACTGAATACTGGTAACTAAGACATAAATCAATTTATTTTAAATTGTAATGTTTTGACTTTCAACTCACAAGCAACATCATTTCCTGTTCTAAGTATTTATTCAAGCATATATTTTCATATTTGAAGGTATGTTCTACACAGAGATATTAGACATTAGGTAAAAATACTTGTTTCCAGTTATATTTCAGGGAAAATTCTAAGGCATTATTGAAAAAAATAATTTAATCTAGGTTGGAAAAATAGCTACAAGAACTTCATCTCCTCGCTTTAGAACTTCTTTCCTTCCTTTCTCTTCTCCAACCCCCCTGCAAAACATAGCTACCTTTTAAGTATTCTCAACTCATCATCACTACTGACTAGAAAAATGCATAGTATAAACAGAAACCAGACTTTGGCAATTTCCCAGACAATTTCAAAGCACTAAAATTTAACTCTGCTCTCTGTCACAGTTCTCCTCTGAGCACACCATCAAGAAAGTTGAATTATAGAAAGTTTCTTCTCTACATGTTGATCAAAGATGTGCAGAACTCATTTAACTGCCTCACTTCAGAAGAGGTGAAAGCAGAAAAATGTTCAGTTGCACAAACAATTCACTTCTATACCTTGTGCACTGAAAAGAACTGAGTATGTAAACTACAGCTCTGAGATAAGCAAAGACAATAACTGCTGTTTCTGGTGGGAGAGAAGATAGGAAGTCTGAAAGTCCCATATTTACTTGATTTTACACACTAATTTAATATCCTTTGGCACTCAATTTCCATAGGAAATTCAGGCATTTAGACCAAACAAAACAGATATTTACCAAGCAGCTAAATCATGCTAACAGAGAGACTGAGTTAGAATAACTCAGGACTCATTTCTGCCTCCTGCTGAGCAATGGTTTTCAACCAGCAAAGCACTTAAGCAGATGCTTGACTTAGCACTCAGCAAAATTTAATAATGCAATCTCTAGTGGGACAGAGGAGGACATCTGGTAAGGCTGTTGTATGCACAGACATGTTTTACACACAAGGAAGTAGAACCATGAGGAAGGGAAAATGAAACAGTCCTCATTCATTTCCTGGTTCTTGGTCTCTAAGGAATCTGAAATGGGGGTGTTGGAACCAGGATGGTCTAGAGATAACACAGAGATGGGACTTGTAGGAAGAATTAATATTTTTTTCTGAATTTGCCTATATTGTTGGAAAACAGTAAAGTTTTGCAGTTCTGCTTTAGATCCTTCAAGCTTTTGTGACATTTTTGTGTGCAAGACTTCGTGTTCTCAAAAGCTCATCTGCCAAAGTTAAACAGACAAGATTTTGAGACTCAAAAAAAAGTTGCTACTCCTGCTTTACTAAAAAAAAATCTGCCCTGCAGTGAGATGTCAGAATTGGAAATCCTAGTTTCCCAGCAAACCTAGAATATGCAAGGGGGAAAATTTTTAAGTCTGGCTTACATGTTTCTTTTAAGTTGTAATCAAATTATTTAGAATTAGGCTCAAAGGATTTACGATGCCATTGCTTTAAGAAGGTTCTCACAGTAGTAGACCTTAATACTTGTTTAGTACTTGGCAATGCTGTGTCAGAAACTAACGTTACATACATAATGCCCAAACCACTGACCCACATTAAAAAAAAATAAAATTGTCACCAATGTGATGAAAAATAGAATGTCTGGGTAACTGGTGCCGTACAAGAAGGAAAGGTCTCTATGGCAAATATAGACTAATGTATTTGATGACCAGAAAAATATAGCTCTTCTAATGCCTAGACTAATCTTGACCCATTCTATTTAACACTGAAATTAGACTATTAGAAGAGACACTGAAATACCTCCATGCTACAAGTGGGGTCAAGAAACTGTATTAAGAGATGGTCAGACTTGACCACAGTAATATATAGACACACAGTCAGTGCAAACAGGCTCATTAGATGATCACTGTCTAAGGGCATCCACAAAGCTTTGCTTTGCTAGTCAGTCTCTATTCAAAAAGATGCTGAAAGCAGCAGAATTTTTTTATGAAAGCACTGCAAGTAGAAATTGAGCCAGATTCCCGACCCCAGCACTATTTCTCAAAGCTACATGAAGACTATATCAATACTTATGAGAGTGCCACATCAGAAGAAGGTACAATCCATTTATCACGGTGTTCTTCAGATCTGTGCTGACAAATGTGTTTTACAATGAAACTTTACGTAAAGGCAACTCAAAAGTTTTGAAAACAGTCTTATTAACTGTTCCTTTTACAATTTTAATTAATGGCAAAGAGATCATAATTCCTGTTTGTTCTTCTCCATGCTTAATTCTATGTAAATGAAGTGATTCAGTCATAACATCTTTGTGGCATCTCATAAGCTGCTGTAGAGCTTGTGGAAAAGGAGCTCTCAGAGGGTAATGACATGCACATAGAACATCTGTGCAGTTCATAAGAGAAAGACAGAATCTGATATAGTAAGGAGAGAAATCTATCAAATAAAACAAGCTAGGTGTTCTTGACGTACCATTGACTAAGCTGGCATTTGCATTATCAGTGGCATTTGCACCTGCTGCACCATCTGTGGCTGAAGGAGGGTGGGAGGAGGGATGGGAAGAATCTACTGAGTAATAATGGGTAAAAAAACAAACAAACAAACAAAAAACAATAAATAATAAATAATAACAATATGAACAAATGCAAATGAAAAAAAGCAAAAATATTTATGAAATACTGTGGCTTTGTTTTCACCAAAATCAATGTTTTAAATTAATCAACATAAATTTCAAAACCAAAATGTCATTACAAAGGCAAAAAAATCATACATGAATACATTATAATAACAACTAAACGAACAAGAAAGATGTTTAACCAAGTTAACAGTTGGTAAGAACTAATTGTACACACTATGTATGGTCCTCTCTATGTATTTTTTTAACTTAAATTATGAGTTACAGAAATATTAAAATGGTTGAAATATTTCCGTAAGTAAATAAATTTGTGGAATGTATCAGTAGTTTTAAAATATGTTGCATACAACATTGTATCTGCAACATTTCATACTTTGCATTTGATGCAATGCTACATATTACAATGTATTACTGCTGGCACAGCCCAGTCTAAGGTGCTGGCTCAATCTGTGTCTTATAAAAACCTAGTTGCACATTGATTTGAGGGGAAACATTAAACTTTTCCATATTGTATGTAGAAATGTAGAAGAAGCAGTCTAGGAAAATATAGTCTTGTAATGAGTTGTTTCAGATCCAAATAATGGGCATTATGTAATTGCCTCTGTTTTGTGGTGAAATGAAAAAAAAAGTAACAGAAAATAAAATTCTCACTTTGTTTTCAGCAGTTATTTGCATATCAGATAAATTGGTCAAGCAATCTTTCCTAACAGGTATATGAAAAACTTTGAGAACATTTTATTATTTTATTGTGGATTTTTATACTACTGTAGAGAAAATTAATCTCTGCAAATAATAGATAAAATAAATTTTGCTTTGTTTCTGTTGGGTAATTGCTCACAACAGAGCACAGAAGTCCTGCAGTGAATCCGGACTGAGACCCTTGAACTTCGTCAGTCCTTGACCCACAGTGACTGTTTCATATTGTACTGGTTTGTAATTCAAGAAATATCATCTTGTCTTATTTACAAATGGTAAATTGGAAAAAGAAAATAAACAGCATATAGGATTTAAAAACACACCACGTGTAAGTATATTCATGAAAATTTCAATTGCAAATTTGATTATTCTGATGATAACAACAGTGTTTTGGTTACTCATGCTTATTTTTTATTCCATTTGGATACTCATACTAACCAGCACAGCACAAAGTGCTAACAGCAAATCACGCATCTCATGTTTAATGTACTGTAATTTACTTCTGGAGATTAACTGAGTATTCAAGCTTAACATTCAGATTTGCAACACCAACAGTGCGTGCGCACTTAAATGTTTTCCATGAACAATCCTGTTGATTTGAAATTGTTCTTTAATTTAACTGGACTGATTCAAAGACAATTATTTTAATCATTAGTTCAACCCTGATTTGCACCAAAGCTTGCTGGCTAAAGGCCTCATCCTTTCATTTGATGTGGTAGAATTCTTACTCTACCTGGAAGCTGATGTCCATCGTCCTGTTTCACACCTGTATGATGATTTTTACAAAATGTTAATGAACAATAAAAGCAAACACCCACATAAGACTGAAGCAAACATCTATGATTGTTAGGACTTTAGAGAACTGCAGGTTTATATATGAGAGTACATCATCTGAGTTCAGGCCTAATCAGCCATCAGCTCTGCACAGGTACTCTTCTGCACTAGCACAAACCTGCTAGAGTCAGTACAAAACATGAAGGAATTTTCTTGGTATTGTAGCTATATCCAATTGGATTTAGCATCTGCAAAAAAAGATCTTACGCATCCCTGTAAGTATCTGTGTCTCTCGGAAGTACATTATGAGCACAGTGCATTGCATTACTTTGCTACCTCAGATTTGTCTTTCACTGTCTTCCAGGCTATCCACAATCCAACATGAGAAAATCATCAGCGTCCTGAGCAAAATAATATACAGAGAAGGCCAACCCCATTAAACAAAGGACCTCAGGACAGACAGTTGTTACATTCAAGCAGAAACTGATGCTGCTCCCTCTCCTCTAGAATATTCTTATACACTGCCAAAAGAGATGCTGCCAGATCCTGAAACATCTGTATGTAGGAGTCTTTTCCATCCTTTTAGTGACAGCAAGATTAGACTCCAGGAAATTGTTCAAAACTAGTCTGAAGTGAAAGAGTTTTACTTTGGGAAGTTGCGGTCTTTCTCCTTTTAAAGTTCTGCAAACTTATCATGCCTGATAAGTATTTTGCATTTCTAGGTTTCATAAGGACTTCCATTTGTTGCACACATTTCTGAACAGAAAATCTGTGTTGTGAAAACCATTTTGAATTGGTTTTCCTATCTGCTGCTTCAAATTGAAAGGATGGAACAGAAATAATAAAGGTGAAATCATGCTTTCTAATAGGTAAAATGCTCTGTAAAACTATAACTACTCCTTTATTAACTGTAAAAAGCACTAAAAAGTGTGGGAGTGTCTAAAAAATCATATTAATTGACCTTAAGCATGTCTGAAAGAAAAACATACTTAGAACAAACACGGAACAAAATTCTGAAAGTAGACTGGAATGATTTACAAAAAGACTGTATGAACAAAAACTGCAAAGGACATGTTAAATCATGTCTGCTTGGTGTGCAAACCAGAGAGTAGCAGTTGCTCACTGACTTCAAACTATAATAAGATGGAAAATCTTAACATTTCTTGATTTCATCAACTGATACGTGATGTCAAAGTTAAACTCTCTGTTAACATTTACTGCTACTTACTTTATTCCATTTTTACTATTCTTAGAATGACCTCTACACCTTAGGTAATTAAAATGCCTCTAAAATCAGTCACTGACATTAAATAACTAAGTTAGCAAAAAATCTTATCTTTATTTTATGTCTGAAGCTCAAAAAAAGATGTAATTTTCATGGCTGAGTTTTGAAAAAACAATGTTACATAGATGTAAGTGCACGAGTGCAAAACCTTTGCAAATTTTAGGTGAGTATGGATTTATGCAAAAAGACATAGCAATGGGAGTATGTCCATGTACTTCCTTGCATTTAATTATGTACTGAGAGTCTGCAATTTAACACTGGGAAAACATCTTGTTATCCAATGTATATTATTGGTTAACCACTTTTGCAGTTTTCCAGTGTGATGTGCAATGACAAAAATGGATTAAAAAAAACGGTTTTTTTAAATCTGTTTGTTTGTCAAGAGTTGAGGAGAGTTCTGGCTACAAAAACAAAACAAAACAAAACAAAACCAAGTGCTTCCTTGGGAGCATGTGTGTTGTGAAATTTACCTTTTTTGTCTTTCTTTTCTTCTTCTTCTCCTCCAGCACCTAACAGAGTAAAGATGATGCCTGTCTGAGAATTCACACCGACAGCAGTTACGAGCATTCGTCCAGAGCCTTCCATGACGTGAGTACCTGAAAATACACAATATAAGTGCTTGCTTATGCATACATACATATATATATAAACACACGTGTGTGTGTGTGTGTGTATATACATATATAAGTTAAAAAGAATAGCCATTAAATGTTTTACACAAGGCTAGCACTGAGGGAGATCTGTAACCGAGAAAGTTACACTTTTAAAATCTTCATCAATGTCAATATTATTACATATCAAAAATAAGCCCTATTGTTATATACTATTCTCAACCACAAATGGATTTTTAATTGCAAATATTAGGATGTATATTCATTAGCCACATTACATTCAATTTTAAAAAGAAATGTTGTCACTAACACAAAGGTTACACAAGTTTGGAAGATAATTTAGCTTCATACGTTTAATTCTTGTAACTTAAGAAATATTTCTTAATATTCTGCAAATATTCCTCGGAGATTGTTGTCCAGATTACACTGACTATACATGGAATGCTATTACATAACTGAAGCAAAAGCATATGTGCAAGTTCTCTCATCTTTCTCAGCTGTTGTTGATTTACAGGCATAGAAAAAATATTTTTGAAGATGATTTCTCATCTTCAAACTTGAAAATCAATACTGAAAAAAATCTTCAAGGGATGTTAAATTCAATTAAATCACAAGTTTCCCAAACAGCAAGAATCTGATACACTTGAAAACAAAATCAATGTGTACAAAGATTTCTATTAGGCTAAAACAAAGTAAAATGCAGAGTATTTTTTTTTAAGATCATTTGTTTAACTAGGTAATTACACCATTATATTAACTAAATTCTTATTGAGAAAAGAAACGGATGCTTTATTGTATAGAAATTTTTAATTTCCAACTCTTATTTAAGAAAATGTTGGGGGTATCTAAAACCACAGCCTCTTAGAAACCTTTTGCTATGAGTTGTGGAAACATAAACAAACTAGGAATTCCTAGAAACAGTCATGGAGTATTTTGATCTAACATCTTGGAAAAAAACTGTAACACTTTATAACATTTTAATAGATCTGTCCTTAGTAGATAGTGAATATTAAAAGACATACACCACTGTATGTCAGTCATGTGACACAGTTATGTTCCTATGGTCTAGACAAAAAAATAATACCTAATGATGAGAAACTACTCATATATGAAGCTATTAATTGAAATATGTTTTATATTTTATTCTTTACTGGTAGAAAATTATGTATGCCTATTAAGCTATAGCATTGTCTATTTAGTATAAGTCTTTGTGACACCCAGATGAAAAGCAATTATTTCTCTATGTGAAGTTGGCAGGGTAAACTGAGATTGAAAGTAGCTGGAAGTTTACTGGGTTTGGGGTTTTTCAAATACTCTTTCCTGCATTTGAAGAAGGAGGAAATAATTTGGAAAGTACAAAAACAGACTATAACATACAAAGTAAAAGCTGTGAGAATGGTTTATATATATTCATATAAAACAAACAAAAACCCCATATTTATAATCCAAGTGAAATATGGTTAACTTGGTTAACGGTAACACATGGTTAACTAAATCTGCTCAAAGATTGGTTTCTTATTTAACAATTTGTTTTATCGTAGGTATTAAAGTTTGAAATACATTATGTATTAGGACTAGTCATTGTCACAGACATGCATCTGTGGGATATAAGTAAAATCAGACCAGATGGAATCAGAATATAATCCAGTAACTAAAGTACCATTATAGGAAAAACAAAGAGAAAAAAAAAAAAAGGAAAAAGAAAAACCTCCTATATTTAAGTAATTTATTTGTTTAAGACAAGAATTCAAGTCTTTAAGTCAAAGAAAAAGTTTGACCATTGTGATCAAAAAAAGAAAAAGAAACAAATAAAGAGTTATTACTTTCTTATTGCTTATAATAACCACTTTAAAGCCTCGTCACTGTGGTATTTGTGACAAACTACTTTTCTGGGTTTTATTCTATTGTTTCTTAGATCCTCACCTCATTTCAAAACTAATGTTGTACTGCTCCACAGTTTGTCAGAAATGCAAGGTTCCCCATTTACTTTCATTAACATGAAATCACTGTTTCTTTCATTCTGTTGACAGCATGAGTAATGTAAATTCAGTAACTGACATCCTAAATACTTCTGTGGCTAATGGGGTAAAGATTCTGTTATGTTTATTCTCAACTATCTCACCCCTGTCACTTACCCAATGCCATCATTACTTATCACTCAATATTTAGAAACAAAAGCAAAGTTGTTCACTTATGCCTGTAGTTTTGAAACATATTGGAGGAAGGGATGTCTGAAGCCACAGTGAAATAGAGAAGAATCCTCAGTCTTATTGCAAACTACTGCAAAATGGATTTTAACCAACTGAATTATGAGTCTGTGGCATTGAACAAATAGGCATTGAACAAATAGGGGTTGTTTTAAATTTCTCATGGAGAATCTTATTGAGCTTTCACACCTACTAAACCTGGACATGGAAAGATTCCTTCCCCCTCCTTTTCTTAAAAAAAAAAAAAAAAAGCATTTTAAGGGTGATGATTCTCATTCAAATGTTTTCTCTTTGTTGAGTTATCTCAAAAGTTGACAAAAGGAACCTTTGTCATACATAGATATATATTAATATAATAATCTCCTTATAACCTTTTTTTTTAACACATTTTCTTATTACTGCACATCCATTTGCTGTCCTCAAACAATGCCACTATATATTTGTAATCAAAATCTTCTTATAAGTAATCAAAGTTTCATGTTCTTAAAAGGAAAAGAGAAACACAGCACAGCGTATAGCCTAGTTTGAGACCATAAACATCTCATCACAACCTTGAGAAAAATTCAGCAGAAATAAGAAAAATAGGAACAAAAATACTCCACTAGTCAGATATGTTTAAAAAACAAACAAACAAACAAACAAACAAAAAAAAAACATGACATTAGTGAGTTGTGAACTGTTCCTATGGCTCCTATGAGGTATTTCTGTGATACCATTTGATTCCTTAAAAAGTCATTTTCTCTCTTTCACATGACAGAACAAAACATCACGAACATACAAAACAACTATCCAAACAACCAAAATCAAATCACATTCAAGTCAAAAGGAACAGTAAAGATCTTTAAGAATTAGAATAGGTTGTACTGGCTCAGGCAAAACAGAAAAAAATGCCTGAAATTTAATGCATAACTTTTGAAATAACTTCTTTTAAGGCCACCATTTAAAACTATCTTTTAATTCATAACTTTCTTTTAGTATACATGTTTTATTTTGAAGGAATCTTCTTCTGTACTGGACTACAAAGGTGTGCATAAATATACACAAAATACTGCATGCATATGGGCAACTTTATTAAGAAAACAAATATCCACCAATTTTCAAGCTTACGTTTTGTGCACCTTGAAAAGGCAAAATGTCTTCAAATGCATGAAATGCCATGCTGAACCTTTTAAACCTTTTCTTAACGTTAGTCTTGTAAAACATAATTCTGAAATGTTGAGTTGCATACAAATGCGTGCTTTGGAGCTGGTACTAAGTACTAATTTATCAGCAGACTACTCTTTGTTAGGATTACTGGAAGCTAATCACAAAAGCTGAACCTCCTTCCATCTAACTCTGGCAATTTCGTCATTTAAGTGGTGTTATAATTCATTTATATTAGCCTGAATGAAGAAATAGACTTTGTGAATTTGATCAGCTATTGTTACATAAATGAAATGCTGGAATGAATGCATGCTTTTCACTTAATCTGTTCACCAAACATGTATTTCAAATTCATGTGGAACTACTACACTGAATTATTTCCCTCTTTAGACTATTTTTTCAATATTAGTAAAATATATATTTTTTTCACATGCCAAGTATTTTTTTTTTTAATAAACAGTGGATATTCCAAGATAGAAAATAAGGAGATTAGTTCAGTGGGAAAAGAGCTATTTGGATTACACAGATAAGGAAGCTACACTGAAGCATGTACATTTTCAGACAAAAATGCAACTAAACATGTACTGCTCAGAAACCTCCAAATCTAACAATACTAGTGAAGAGGCCGGTCCTCTTTAACATCTTCATCAATGATCTGGATGAGGGCATTGAGTGCACCCTCAGTAAGTTTGCAGATGACACCAAGCTAGGTGTGTGTGTCGATCTGCTTGAGGGTAGGAAGGCTCTGCAGGAGGATCTGGATAGGCTGCACCGATGGGCTGAGGTCAACTGTATGAAGTTTAACAAGGCCAAGTGCCGGGTCCTGCACCTGGGGCGCAATAACCCCAAGAAGAGCTACAGGCTGGGAGAGGAATGGCTGGAGAGCTGCCAGGCAGAGAAGGACCTGGGAGTGATGGTGGACAGTCGGCTGAATATGAGCCAGCAGTGTGCTCAGGTGGCCAAGAAGGCCAACGGCATCCTGGCTTGTATCAGAAACACTGTGACCAGCAGGGCTAGGGAGGTGATCGTCCCCCTGTACTCGGCTCTGGTGAGGCCGCACCTCGAGTACTGTGTTCAGTTCTGGGCCCCTCGCTACAAGAAGGACATCGAGGTGCTTGAGCGGGTCCAGAGAAGGGCGACGAAGCTGGTGAGGGGCCTGGAGAGCAAGTCCTATGAGGAGCGGCTGAAGGAGCTGGGCTTGTTCAGCCTAGAGAAAAGGAGGCTCAGGGGTGACCTTATCACTCTGTATAAGTATATTAAAGGAGGCTCTAGCGAGATGGGGGTTGGCCTGTTCTCCCATGTGCCTGGTGACAGGACGAGGGGGAATGGGCTAAAGTTGCGCCAGGGGAGTTTTAGGTTAGATGTTAGGAAGAATTTCTTTACTGAAAGGGTTGTTAGACATTGGAACAGGCTGCCCAGGGAGGTGGTTGAGTCACCATCCCTGGAAGTCTTCAAAAGACGTTTAGATGTAGAACTTAGGGATATGGTTTAGTGGGGACTGTTAGTGTTAGGTCAGAGGTTGGACTCGATGATCTTGAGGTCTCTTCCAACCTAGAGATTCTGTGATTCTGTGATTCTGTGATATGGCTCAAAAAATACAGAAAGAAATGCAGAGCACTCTAATTTTGAGTGTTTATCCTGTTTTGTTACTTCCAGCAAGCTTGAGTTGAGCAAAAACTCTCTATCTGCATGTCTAAATAATGGTTTAGTCACTGCAATTATTAAAAGGTAACCGAAGTCACTAAGAAAGCGAAACAACCATCAGAATATCCTCTTTAAACAAAAAAAGTTTTCCAGCAAAAACTCATCTACATGTAATTTCAGCATAACCAAATAATTTGGAACATTTTAAGTTAGATGCTCTGTTCTAAAAATTTCTGCTTTGCTAGAAGCTTAGCTTTGAATATTTTCTGGCAAGGAATTAAGACAGAATCAGAACTATTTTTCTCCAGGCAGTAACTGACCCGATTCCTTAATCAAGCTTCCTTCTAATTTGCAAAACCTAACAAAGCACCATAACCAAGACATTTCCTTAATTTATTTGTTCTTTAATAAGCTGACTCTTCATTGTTTCAAAGAATCAAACAAACAAACAAAAAGTACACATGGATGAAACTTAGGTTAAGATAACCTTCTGTCAGTATCAGTTCAGTGAGAACTACACTGGGTCAGTTCCTCTTTGCAACTCTTTCATACTAATTTCATTAATCAAATTAATCTAAATAACTGGAATAACTGAAAAAAAAAAAAAAAAAAAAAAAAGCTTTAAACAATAAACCTCCAAAGATATTTTTTTTACAATGTTAACTATTATCACCTTGTACCCCTAAATAATTACTGAGGCCAGACTCATGTACAAAACTTCTGTATATGGGAATCATGGATTTCTCTGAATTTCAAACTATGCAGAACTTGAAGGGCAGTATCAGTTTTCACAGAATTACAGAATTGTAGGGGTTGGAAGGGGCCTTAAGAGATCCTTGGGTCCAACGCCCCTGCCAAAGCAGGTTCCCTAGAGCAGGCTGCCCAGGTAAGCGTCCAGATGGGCCTTGAATATCTCCAGGGAAGGAGACTCCACAACCTCCCTGGACAGCCTGTTCCAGTGCTCCATCACCCTCACTGTGAAGAAGTTCTTTCGCGTCTTGGTGCGGAACGTCCTATGCTCTATTTTTTGGCCATTGTCCCTTGTCCTGTCCCCAGAAACCACTGAAAAGAGGTTGGCCATATCCCTTTGTCTCCCATAGTTCAGGTATTTATAAACATTGCTGAGATCCCCTCTCAGTCTTCTTTTCTCCAGGCTGAACAGACCCAGGTCTCTTAGCCTTTCCTTGTAGGTGAGATGCTCCAGGCCCCGTATCATCTTTGTGGCTGGACTCTTTCCAGGAGATCCTTGTCATTTTTGTACCAGGGAGCCCATAACTGGACACAGTACTCCAGGTGAGGCCTGACCAGGGCAGAGTAGAGGGGGAGGATCACCTCCCTTGACCTGCTGGCCATGCTCCTTTTAATGCACGCCAGGATCCCATTGGCCTTCTTGGCCACCAGGGCACAGTGCTGGCTCATGGCCAACCTGTCTTCCACCAGGCAAAGGTGGACGAGTATCAGACAGTTTCATTACCCAAGCTCTCTTCACCTTTTGGTCAATACATGCCCATGCTCATTGCAAAGAAATTTAATATAACCATGGGCTTGTTAATACTGTTGACTTTTGATACAGTGTATTGTGCTACACCACGCATGCAAAACTCTATTAGTGACCTAAAAGAAGGGAAAAAGAAGTACAGTGGAACTATTGGTTGTTTTCATTTCAGGTATATCAGTTGAGTTTCATTTCAGTTTATATTCCCATTTCTGCCTTCCTAGGTAGTACCAAATGTGCTATATACAGATGGAAATGAACCATCTGGTCTAGTCAGCACTTGTACTCTTAGAATTGCTTCTCAAGTATAGTAAATGACTATCTGGATGATTAAACAGGACATTAAGCACAGAAACTCATTTAGTTTAATTATGTCATTGAAACTAATCGAATATTAAAAATGTTTCAGGTGCCAACAGTGAAAATAAGACTTCCTGATTCATGGTGTTTTTCTTTCACCAAATTTAGACCCACAAAAACAAACCATGGCTGCAATTCAAATGTTACCTTTCTTTAGCTTTCTTCTATCAAACCTGAACTGTCTTCTTTTCCAACAGACGATGGAGGAAGAACAGTGGCAAACATCAGCCTGACAATCTTTGTCTAAATTCCAAAACCTAATTGGAAATAATTTACTGATGTCTTCAGGTTCAAAGACAAGGAAAAATTAAGGTCTTTTTACAGTTTTTTTTTTTTTCCCTGCTTTAAAGAAGTTTTATTAAAATACGGGTTCTATGCTAATATCCAACAGAAATTCTGTTTTTAAAACTACTGTGAAACAAGCATGACATGGTGGGTTTCAACTTTTTTGATTTTTGAGCTACTAACAATTTCCAGCAGGCACATCAGGTCCAACATCATGGGTATTAAACTTTGCAGTATATCTCTGGAAAAAAAGGTAGTATTTGGTGAACTCATAAGCAAATAGAGTTCAAGGGTTTGCTAACACAGAACGAGTATAAATTCATTAGTATAAATATGGAGCAAAAGTTTGTGTAGCATTTGTTAAAATATCCCATTAATTCTTCACCTTTTTGTAATTACTATAGAGATAACATACTAAAAGGGAAATATAAATAGTGCAAACTTTACTGTAAAACCATAAAGACAAACCTCTCTTTCTAGCAAAGATGTTTAAGCTTTGGGAAGCAGGATAAAAATTTCTTTTCACCTAACTCAACTACTTTCCTTTTCTCTCCCCATCATGCCTTTCAGGGCAGTGTCTTTATATTTTTTCCACAGTCACCACTGAAATCTATGGGTATTCAAAAGGATCTCATTCAATTTAGGAATATGTGAGAGTACACGAACAAGACAACAAGAAGTATACTTTCTGTGAGTTGAGAGTCCAAATGTATTTGAAAGGACTCTATCAAGTTGCAATACATTGATGATTGTTATGAGACCATTATGAGACAAAATAGCAGGCAGCTTTTATGCCTTCACATCTTAGCTTAAATCTGTTAAGAACCAGACTATTTAAAAATCTCATTTTTAGAATAAAATATATATATGTGTATATTTAAATGATTTACTGTGTAGAATTATATTACAAAATACAAATAGTATGAATAACATGAACATATAACAAAGATTATGAACATAAAAATTGACATAAAAGTCAATATTTTAGTGTATCCATCTTTCTTAGCACATTTGTTGTTTCTTTCTCTAATGTTTCTACTGTATGCATAAAAAAGAGGCTTTGAAAGACTTTAAAATTTAATGGTTAAATTAAAGTTGGTATATGATGAATTGAAATGATTTTTTTTTCCAGGAATTATATTTTCATTTCCCTCTAAAAATTTTCAGCATTTCTCACTTATTTAATAAATATCATGATCAGAAAGAATTACACACAATCAGAAAACATTAGTCTATCTCTCATATGAAAAACTGGCAAGGTCTGTGTCTGTATTCAAAAGACCTGCTATATCTAGGTTACCAAAACCTGATGCTGTAGAGAACCAAATCAAAACAAAACATGAACAAAGCTGTACATAAAAGGTAAACTCAGAAAGAATTCAGACAAATTTACCTGACAGTAGCATTGGGTCTTTGTCAACAGATTTGCGGACTTGATCTGACTCTCCAGTTAAAGAACTTTCATCAATTTTAAGATCATTTCCTTGAATAAATATCCCATCGGCAGGTAGGAGATCACCTTTCAGTAAAAAAAAGCAATGGAAAACCACAGTGATTTAGTAAGTGCTTTTATAATTACATAATTATTTCTATGATAAAATTACAACAATAATTACATTAAAATGTAAAATGAAAGCAAATATGAAAGTGCAACCATATCAGATCACATCAGCCACATTATTATAATCTCATAGAGAATAACCTTTGCGTTGCAAATATTTTTTGCTTAACGTTACACCAGAATCAGAATGCATCACACTTAACATACAATGAATAATCACCTAGACTAGGAGGGGAGTGATCTTTTTAACATGACATGAAGGTTGTTCTGTCAAACTTCCTAAGAAAAAACAGCAGCTAATAGACAGTTAAGCAGTCTCTCTCCTTTCTGCTCTCTGGATGCTCTCCTGCATCTAAACCTAGGAGAGACTTGACCCAGGAGAGACTGGACGCCTGTTGGAACAGGCTGTAATTTTCAGGTTGAATTAGACACAGCTAACAGAGTTCCTGCAAAGATTTTACAATTCACCAGAGCATGGGGAGAAAAATGGGGGGGGAGGAAGAGGGGGGTGCATCCTTTATGGTATATAATTATATGGCATCCACCCACTAGTAACACCCAGTTTGTGGACACTTACAGGATCCATAGTTTTGGAGCAGCCTACCAACTAGGGTTAGCACAGGGGCATGATTCCCTTTCAGAAAGCATTTAAAATTGCTTCATATTCATACCTGGACAGATTCCAAAAATTCCAAATACTGTAATCCTCCATGAAAGAGAATTACCATTGTAAGAACAGTTCTTGTCCTTGTCAGTGAAAGGAAATGAAGCTTACAAAAATAAAATTAATTACCAAGTGTAATTTTACTGCATGTATTTTAGGTCAAGTTTTTCTTTTGCCCTCACAGCATAATTATTACCATACCATGGATAGTAATGATACCAAATTATTCTGTTTTTGAATTAATTCCAGTGAAGTGAGTTCTAAATATCCTCTATTTGGCCAGGAAGGGAGAAGGGAAATAAAGTTCAGAAAAGTAATCGATTTGACGAAAACTTACCATATTTCACCTGTGCAATGTCACCAACTACTATCTCTGCCACTGGGATTTGGATAACCTGTCCACCTCGGACAACAGTAAATTTCTGTTCCTGCTCAATACGACTTTGAAGCCCACGGAACTGCTTCTCCTTGCTCCAGTCATTGAAGGCAGTGACGAGCACAACACAGATAACAGAGAGAAGGATGGCAGCACCTTCAATCCAGCCAGCTTCAGCCTCACCCTCATCTTCAGCTCCTCCTGTTGCAGTACCACATCCTACCAAGACAATATTATGACTCATTCAGTCAAGCAAAGATCAGTTGTATTAAATTTATCACAAGAAAATCTTGCTGTGAAATGGCAACAAAACGCAAACCAAACCAATGGGTAAAGGCGGCATCAATTCTGTTGTCTAATAGGACTCAGGCTTCACCTGAGCCATCTAACATTCCCAGAAATCAGGAGGACTTAAGAAAAGTGGCTCCTAATACTAAAACAACTAATACCATAAATCAGTTGAAAGTGATACAATTCAATTAAGAATAGAATTATATAAATTGAAGGTTGGGAAAACAAAAAAAAAAAATGCTTGAAAAGCTACACATCTGATGTAATTTATATACTCATGACTTAACTCTAAATTTTCATTTTAGAAATAGGATACATGAGTAATAACTGCAACAATGAAGTAATCAAATTTCTGAAGATTGCCTGAATTGATTAAGGGTAAACATTACAAATAGAGATACTGTTTTATCTAACCTACCATTTAATATTTATTGCTTGGTATTTGACCTAGTTTTATCAAGCATAAGAGAAAGATTGTATACCTTCCTAAAGAAGATTAAAGAAATAATTTTCAATATAATTTCTAAACAGTCTCAGCTAAATGCCCTCATAAAGAACACTTGCATAAAAAAAACTACTCTGATCAACTAGCATATTAGTATTTAAACGTAATAATGAAGGGCATTAGGGAACATTCAGAAAAATTAAAACCTAATATAAAATTCATCAGCAACCCAATTAATAACTAGTAATTGATATAACATAATCAGTATCTTTCTTACAGAGGAATATAGGGCATATTTGTAGAAAAATAAGTATATTATTTCTGATACAAGTATAATAGTATTTAAAAAGTACATTCTAAGTATTACCTGAACTAATACTGAGATATTTTATTAACTAGTGCTAATTATTTATTTCCAAGTAACACAATTAAGATTTGAATACATTTCCTAGACAAAATTTACAAAATATAACCTAATCTAGATGTCCTCTTTAATGAAACAAGCCCTAAAAAAAATAGTTCATGACAGTGGATAGCAAAGCATGCTTACTGGAATCACAAAATTCAGAGATTTCACAACCTAAAGGGGAGAAAAAAAGAACCCAATCCAAGCAAAAGAGCCTTCTCTCCTGAGTGACAGAGAGAGAATATGAACCTTTTAATTTCTCATGAAGAACTGAACAAGGTAGGCGTTTGACATCAGTTATCCATCTTCCTCAGGTACCAGGGAGTTTAGCAATTTCACAACTGTGCTGCTTCCATCTATGACTAAAGTTTAATTTTGGTATATTCATCACCTGACACTAGAGGAAATTAACAAGCAATTTAATTTCTATTTTTAATCTGGAGAGGTTTCCCTGTAACATAAGCATCATAATTCATTAACCAGCTGAGTAATTACTCTTGCGTGTGAACAGTAACAAAATTACCAAAAAAAGTCAAAGGAAGATGTATTAAAGACTAAGCCTCTACTAAGTGAACAGAAGAAAATTAAAGTGAGTTTTTACCAGTGCTTGCTGCAGTTTAAACTCAGATTTAACCTAAAACTCAGATTTAACCTAATTGTAAGGAAAAGCACACTCCCAGAAGAAAGGGCTTTCCTGGCAGGGATGCCTTCAGACAGATGACCTAAATGAATCTTTATATGCAGGACAAGAACGTTGCTGAAAATACTGTTTTTACAGCACCCAAGAAATTAAGTAATTTTTTTAATTATTATTATTATTATTTTTTAAAGTTCAGTGCCTTGAGTTGCTTAAACCAGTCACAAATGCAACTTATAAACTCACAGGTGCAATGTCTTCCTTAAGCAGAACATTACTTGGGAAGGACTGATGGAATTTGTTTTGTTTAACCTTTAAATCATCTTAATTGGTCCATGTTACATTTTAGATTCCTTTTCCAAATCAGTAAATTCACTTTTGCCTTGAGTAGATTATACTGTTTCCCAGCACACATAATTCTGTTTTAGCAAATGTAAGACAAAAATTCACTACTCATTTTTCATTAGATATGATTTAAAATGAAGAAACAATATCCTATTCTTTTTAACAGCATACATCCTTGAAGAAACATATGCTGGTCTAACACAAAGATTGATTTTGTTTTCTTTTTGGATTTTAAAGTCCTCACCACTTGAAATTTAGTCTATCTTGTGTAAAAGTGCAAATAAGGTGGGTGATCACATGGCCCAGCTTAACTGACAACAGTAACAGCCCAATCCCCCGTAAGGGTGACAAGGAGCAGCTCAACTCTGGGACAATTATATGGCGATAATATTTACTTTAATCTATAGCATGCCCTCCCCTGTGCTTTCACTGAAAACTGTCTTTGATTTCTGCATAAAGATTATTTATAATTTATAACACACTATTTTCTACTAGAACAAGAATTATGTAATACTTAAATACTTAAATTTTTAAAATCAGACGTTTGAAAGCTGTGCTTTGTCCTTCATTACAAGGAACCCATGCTGTCTCTGGACATACATAAGTATATTCTGTTATTGGAAGAGCAGAATACCCTGTCACTACAGCAGAAAGCTGCCAGTTTTTGCAAGTCTTTTACAAGTCCTTGCTATTTTTCCAAAGAACCAATAGGTCTTATTACTGCCTTTTGGATGTGTCAGAGAAACAAAACCCCTATTAGTCAGTGTACTCAAACCCTATATTAACACATTGTACCTTGAATAGCTTGGAGAATAATATTTCTGAGAAAACAAAAACAAAAAGCATTCTGATACACAGGCATAAAATAAAAAATATACGTTGACTTAAGTAATGAAATTTATCTCGTGTAGGTGTTATCAGAACTGAATTCTACATTAATATAAACAATACCGTTCCCAGTATGTTCATATAACCAGGAAAAGTAGCCTACTGTAGAATGTAAATAACACAAAATGATATCATGAAGATGAAAGGAATTGTGTTTACCTGTCTCATAGATTATGCACAAGCAAAGAACATGTTTCTCTCTTTGTATTAAGGCTGAAAAAAATGTTTGTAAGAAAGAAAGGAAATGTGGAGAAAACACTGAACTTAAACCAAGTTCTTGGAAAGCATCCCTGAATTTGACAAGCTTTAGCACTGAATGATGATTCATGATTCTAGCTTTTAAAATGCTGAGAAAATTCTCCAAAACCTTTTGGAAATCTTGAAAGTTCAAAAATGGTTCATTTATTTTCTGTTCAGCCAGATGATAGTAAATTCAGATGGAGGAAAAGTCTGTGGAGGGAAGGAGGGAATTCTTGGAGTGAGACCCAGGAATAATTAAACTGACAAGCATGGTCAAAAATAAAAGTTAGACTTTTAGATGGATGCAAGAGATTGTGAGGTGCTTTACAGAGTTCAGAACGCTCCTTGGTTGAGATGCAGTTTAGCTTCTATAAATAAACTATAAAGAAGCATTGCTTCTTAGTGATCCATTGATCCAGGTTATCTGACACACTAAGTGAATTCACCCATAGAGGTGACAGGGAGCAGACAGCTCACTCTGTTTTCATTCAGCATGACCCAACATTATAATAGTGAGCCAAGGTATGAGAGACACGAATTGATTACTTTTTCCTCAGAGGATCAGGACTCTGGAACACAATTTTAAAGACCACAAAGAGATTGATAATACACAAATGGGGATCTCACTCCTTGACCTGCTGATGCCCAGTCTGCAGGCTGGCTGACCATGCCATATTCTAAACACCATGAACACCACATGAGTGTTCCTGTCTGTTCCACAAGTTCCCTCACCTTGTCTTCGTGTTTTGCAGTCCCACAAATGAAACAGGATGAAAGTGCTTGATAAATTAATGCCAAATGCGCACACCATTCTTTCTTACTGTAAGAATAAACTGTAGCCACTTCAAGTAAAGAAAGCACGCAATACTTACAGATAGGGTTGCTGAACAGATTTTTTTAATAAAGATTACAGACAAGCAAGATTTAAAAAATGCAACCTGCCCTTCAAGAGATGACCTGTCAGGAAACATTTTATTGACCTATGCTGTGTTCTTGCTTCAAAATTGTTTTAGAAACGTTTCCTTTTAACAGAGAAGGGGAAAAAAAAAAAAAAAAAAAAAAAAAAAAAACAAAGAAAGAAAAAACCTTGCATCTCTATTGGTATATATTTGTAGAATTCTTTCTCATATAATAAAGGGGAAAAAAATCTCTCTTTAGCTATTATATCATGAATAAAAAATAATCTAGAAATTCTAGAATGACTTTATACGGGGCTTATATGGCAAGGTGTTGGTAGCAGGGGGCTGCAGGAGTGGGAGCAGTTCTTGAAGAGCTGCTGCCTGTGGGCAGCCCACACAAGACAGCTCAGGAAAGACAGCATCCCATGGGAGGGACCCCATGTGATGTGGGGACTCCACAAAACATGGAGTTTTGTTTCTCAGAGGCAGAGAGGGACTGAGAAGGAGCAGACAAAGCATTAGGGACTGACCCCAGCACCGTTCCTGTGCTGCTGGAGGAGAAGCAGAAGAGAGTGGATGAGGGAAGGTTGTTTTAATTTGCTTTTGGTTCTCACTGCTCTTGTCTGTCAGCAATAGATAATAAATTACATTAATAACCCTCATACTGAGGCTGTTTTACCCACGACAGTAACTGGTGGCGCAGTCTCCCTGTCCTTATCTCAACCCATGTGATTGTTCTTCATCATACATTTCTCTCCCTGTTGTTCTGAGGATGGGGAGTGATTGAGCAGCGTGGCAGGGCATGCACCAGCATGAAAATACCACAAACATATATGAACTTTTGGGAACAAACTACCTGTATTCATAGGACAAAAAAGTCCTTATACTTTTTAACTGTTCATCTATTACTATCCATCCTTTCTGTAGTTTGCAGAGTGATACAGTAACAACTTTATAGATATAGGGAAAGTAAGGCATATAAATAAGACACACAAAAGAGGAAATGATAATATGCTTAAGTAGAATATACAAAATATAATTTCAAGCATCTAGTGGCAATTAGAAATG